TTTTTTTTTTTGGTTTATATGCAGATGACACAATCTTGCTTTCTGAAAGTGAAGAAGACTTGAAGCACTTACTGATGAAGATCAAAGAATGCAGCCTTCAGTATGGATTATACCTCAACATAAAGAAAACAAAAATCCTCACAACTGGACCAATAAGCAACATCATTATAAATGGAGAAAAAAATTGAAGTTGTCAAGGATTTCATTTTACTTGGATCCACAAGCAGTGCCTATGGAAGTAGCAGTCAAGAAATCAAATGATGTATTGCATTGGGCATATCTGCTGCAAAAGACCTTTTAAAGTGTTAAATTGCAGAGATGTCACTTTGAAAACGAAGGTGCTCCTGACCCAAGCTATAGTGTTTTCAGTAGCTTCATGTGCATGTGAGGGCTGGACAGTGAATGTGGGTGGCCACAGAAGAATTGATGCATTTGAATGGTGGTGTTGGTGGTGAAGAAGATTGAATGTACCGTGGACTACTGCTAGAAGAACCAACAAATTTGCCTTGAAGGAGGTACAGCTGGAATGCTCCTTACAAGCAAGAATGGCCAGACTTGTACATGTCTCTTGTGCTTTGGTCATGTTGCCAGAAGGGATCACTCCCTGGAGAAGGTTATCATGCTGGGTAAAGGAGAGGGTCAGCGAAAAAGGGGAAGACCCTCAACAAGATGAATTGACATAGTGGCTGTGATGATGGGCTCGAGCATGGCAACAATTACGAGAGTGGCACAGGACTGCGCCGTGTTTTGTTCTTTTATGCATAGTGTTGCTTTGAGTCGAAACAGATTCGGTGGCACCTGACAACAACAATCCCTACAAGGGTGCCATGTTCCTTATTTACATTATTAGCAAGCTATCCAGTCTCCTAGGTGGGCCACAGGCACCTCACATTTCCGTAGTCCCACTAAATCATCTGGTGGGAGTCACAAATTCCATGGCTGGAAAAGCCATATTAAGTAATTGATTGTACCACATGGTTTCAGTCATGTTAATTCCTTTCTTATCAGTAATCCTGGGCATTCCTTGGTTCCTTGGAGTTCTTGGCTTGTAGATAATCATCACATGGTATCTGTCTTTCTGCATGTGTTTGTCTCCATGTTTATTCTGTTTTTATAACTCAAAAGTGATCAGGTTTAGGATCTACCCTACAATGTTATAATTGTTATTGATTGATTACATTACATTGCATTATGGAAGGCAATTACATTAGATTACATTATGGAAAGTGAATATATTGCATTTATTATATGGAAGGGGCTTAACTTATATTAGGTGGCATTATGAGTGGTGATTACATTATATTATGGAAAGTAATCTGCTCTACTCAAGCCTAAGCCCAACTCATTTAATCATGTGTAACTTCTCTGTGGCAACAATTAGACTAATGAGTGGCAAAAAAAAATTGGAAACCGTAGTCTAGCCAAATTAACACATAAGATTAAATATCACAGAAGGTCAAGAGGAGAAGCATAAACCATTCTGGAGTGGAGTTTCCTTGCAGTAGTGAAAACGCATGAGTTAGGGCTAAATGCATCAACATAGTTGAGCATCACAAGTACAATCAGAGGTTCACACAATATGATGCCATTAATATAAAGTTTGAAGGCATTTAAGATAATGCTATATATTTTTTGTGAATATATTCCTAAGGAAATACATGAGAATGATAAATTCAGGATACTGTTTATCTCTGAGGGAGGATTTCTTAGGGAAGGGATTTTGTTTTCTCTAATACTTTAAGGAACCCTGGTGGTATAAACAGGCCGCTAACCCAGAGGTTGGCAGTTTGAACCCACTGAGTAGTTCCTTGGGACAAGACCTGGTGATCTACTTCCATAAGAATTATAGCCAAGAAAACCCTGTTGTAACATGCATTTGCTGTGATTTAAAATTGACTTGATGGCACCTAACAGTAACGATATAATACTTTATTCCTTAAGCTGGGGGGGAGGGTCATGTTATGTATGTATGTATGTATTTAAATACTTCCTTTGTTTGAACTGTTGAATATGTTTTTAAAGGATCAAATGACAATTAGTAGGTGCTCAGTAAATACTTGTTTCATCAGTTCGTTCTTTGTCCCTGGGTTTGGACATCATTTGTCTCTTCCTCTCTGTTTAAAAAGAAAAAGGATGAATCTGTATGGCTTTTGGTAGCCTAAGTATGACATTAAAGTCTGAGTTGACTCTTGAACATTGAGGTAAAGATTCTGTTCTTTATGTTTACCCCATCTACCTCCTTCCTGGTTAAATGCTTACTGACAGTCACCCTCTCTACTATAAAACTATTAGAGACATGTATCTCTGGCTCCTTTTCCATCTGAGTGACCCAGGCATTCCCCCATCTTTGTCCAGGCCCCTGTCCTTCGAATGGTGGAAGGTGACACCATCTATGATTACTGCTGGTATTCTCTGATGTCTTCAGCTCAGCCAGATACCTCCTAGTAAGTGATGCCATTTGAGCTTTTCACCTTTTGGGGGGCAGGGGCTCTTCAGAGAGAAAGTCGAGGGCAGCTAGGGGTCTTGATGGGGGGAAGGCTGGTGTGCCCTTTAGATGGGAACGGAGAGGGCTGGTCAGTTGGCTTCCTCCCCTTCCTTTGACAGCACTGGGGCCTCAGTATCCGTGTCTCTCTCAGCGTGGCCAGCAGCAGCCGGGAAAACCCGATTCACATCTGGGATGCATTCACTGGGGAGCTCCTGGCTTCTTTTCGCGCCTACAACCACCTGGTATGGACCTGCCGGCCCAGCCCCACATCTCCTGGCCCAGCTTTCCTCCCTTGCATGGCTGTGGCTTCGAGAGGCCTGTTTTCAACCCTTTCCTGCCCCCAGGATGAATTGACGGCGGCTCATTCACTCTGCTTCTCCCTGGATGGCTCCCAGCTCTTCTGTGGCTTCAACCGGACCGTGCGTGTCTTCTATACAGCCCGTCCTGGTCGCGACTGTGAGGTCCGGCCTACGTTTGGTAAGCATCTGTGTATCCAAGGGAGAAGGAAGAGAAGGGAACTGCCACTTGCAGAGGGTTCTTCTGTGAGCCAGGCATCCCTACATGAGGTTCCATTTCACCCTCACTACGGCAGTGGGAGACAATGTGATGCACTGTTGGCAGAGCAGAAACATATTCAGAGAGGGAAGGAAGCTTTCCCAGAGTCAACCAGCTGGATAGAAGAGCTGGTTTATCTTGTTGGTTGTGTACTTTTTGGCCTCCAAAATCTTTATATCTTTGGGAAATATGAGGTGAAGCTGATTTCATTTTCCTGTAGGCCTTCAGCTTTCCATCCCTTCAGGATTCAAAGGGAGGAACTAGGAAGTGGGAGTTAGGTCTCTTTTAGGGGGGATGGAAGCATCTGGAAAACCTTCAGAGGTCTTTGTCTTGATTGTAGTATATGGAGCGGGGGAGACACATTGGCCTGGGGACAGGAGACAGATGCGCCTCCGATTAGCTTGGTTAATGCTGGGTGTCGCTGCCCTTTCTCCTCCCTCATTCCTTCCCTCAGCAAAGAAGCAGGGCCAGAGTGGCATCATCTCTTGCATAGCCTTCAGCCCTGGGCAGCCCCTCTATGCCTGTGGCTCCTATGGCTGCTCCTTGGGTCTGTATGCCTGGGATGATGGCTCCCCTCTCACCTTGCTGAGGGGACACCATGGAGGCATCACCCACCTCTGCTTTCATCCTGATGGCAACCGTCTCTTCTCAGGAGCCCGCAAGGTAGGAAGGCTTGTCCTGAGACCCTCAGGCAGCTGGGCAGTTGTAGTCTGTGATATGTTGGGACACAGGGTGGGAAAATCAAGCCCAGGCAAAAGAGTACCTGTAAGCCCTGAGGGGAAGCAAGGCTGGCTTGGGGTGGGGGGAGGACTCTAGTCCCCCCTTCTGTGTTTTCAGGATGCTGAGCTCCTGTGCTGGGATCTCCGGCAGCCTGGTCATCCACTGTGGTCCCTGAGTCGGGAAGTGGCCACCAATCAGCGCATCTACTTTGATCTAGACCCGTGAGTGGCCATGGCTCCCTCCTGCCCAGGGCCCTAATGCCCTGAGGAATGCCAGAACCCAGCTACAGGTCCCAGCCTCTGGCAGGAGGGCTTCCTGCTCCAGGAGTGGTACCTCCAGGCATCAGGCCTCTGTTCTCTCTCCCAGGACTGGGCAGTTCCTGGTGAGCGGCAGCACTAGTGGCGCCATCTCTGTGTGGGACCTCAGTGGAGCTGTGGAGGACAACCGGAAGCCAGAGCTGGTGCTGAGTTTTCTACCCCAAAAGGACTGCACCAATGGAGTGAGGTTATCAGTTCAGTTCTGCAGATCTGTGGGGGCTTTGGCTGGGGAGGGAGCAAGCATCTCTCACAGGGCGCTAACAAACCCTGCCTGCCTTTCCCTTCAGCTTGCACCCCTGTCTGCCTCTGCTGGCCACTGCCTCTGGTCAGCGTGTGTTCCCGGAGCCCACAGAGAGTGAGGATGAAGGGGAGCAGGGACTGGACCTTCCCTTGCTCTCCTTGCGCCACATCCACCCTGAATATCGGCTTCAGCTCTGGTGGTGTGGTGGGGACCCAGACACCAGCATCCCTGAGGATCATCAGGGAGGGGAGGGACAGGGAGGGCTGGAAGGAGGTGGGGATGGATTTATATAAAAAAGGGTTTATATGCAACTGGAGCCTGTGTGTCTCTTTGGGGAGGTGAAGGATGCCGGTAGCAACGGGAGGGGGGCTGGTGGGCTCCCTTGTCCAGCAGCGGTGGGCATTGGCATATTGTTTCTGAAACCAGGGGTTGAGAGGTGGGACTATGTGGGAGCCAGTAAGGGAGCCAATGGGGCTGCTGAGCTTGGTGTGAAGTCAAGTGAGTGGGGGTGGGGCTTCATGCCATTGACTGGCGGGTTGCTAAGCAACTTGGTAAACTGAAGGGGGAAACCTGTTTGAAATCTCACTCCCAAGGTGGGGGTGGCAGGGGTCAGGGTGAGCAGGGCTGAGCAGGAGTGGCAGGAGCTCTGTCAGACTGTTGGGTGTGACTGTATGAGACTGTGCAGACAGTGACAGACAACACCCGCTCACTCGCTCTACACTATTTACCATCACCCAGCAGCAGAGGGACCGTTACTCAGCTCTGGGGGAAGGGGAGCAGGAACACTGTCTCCCCTTTCCTGGACTCCCCCAGGAGGCAGGCGGGTGGCAGTAGGCAGAGTCAAGGACACACATGAAAGAGTAAAGGTGCCAGAAAATAGAGATGTCCCATTCAGAATTCCTGTTAGATGCAGGGCAAGGGCGAGGGGCTTACTCATTCAGCAGCTGTCGCCGGTTTCCTTGTTTCTCCATTTCTGTCTTTTCAGTCTTTGGGGTACGTGTGGGGGGGTGTGTTATTTAGAGCAATGACTCCTTCCCCCACCACCTTGCCAAGCACAGAAGGGGGACTTTGAAGAGACAGCAGTCAAGGGAGGTGGTTTGAGACTTCACAATCAAAGGGAAGCGGCAGGCCTAAGGCCTGTGGAGGCCTGAGAGGGAAGGAGAAGAATGTCACCTCTGCCCAGAGGTGCTGAAAGCAAGGGTTCTTACACCCAAGAAGGCAAATCCTCCCTTCCCCCAGGATAATTGGAAACAGCCCTTCCGGCAGAATGAGGTTTGGGGCTTTCCTCTCCCAGCCCCACTTCTCTCCACAGCCATCCAAGAAGGGCCTAAGTTTACCCCTAGTCTCTTGCTTTCACTCAATCCCTCAGAGATGAGTGAAGGGTCCAGGAGGCTGTGACAAGAGACCCCAGCAATGGGAATTCAGCAGGCTGGGGTTAGTTGCAGGCCTTAACCCAGATTTCCTGTGTGACCTTGGGCAAGTCGCTGGGACTCCAGACCCTTCGTTTCTTCCTCACTGCAATGGGGGTCATTGGCTTTGCGCCCCTGCCTCACACAGGTAGTGCCAATGAACTCAAGGCACGCGGCAAAGTGTGAACCTTTCAGTGTTACTCTCTTTAGACCTTAAGGGAGCATCAGCATTGTTTTGGGGTGGCAGAGACGGAGGCTGCGAGAACGAAAGGGGCTTGGTTCCTCGGGGTGGAGAGGGCGACCACCTTTCAGGAAGATCCTCTGAGAGAGGAAGATTGCAGCCGGTCGGGCGATCCGAGGGCAGCAGGGAGACGGGCCGACACTAGGGCGGAGATGGAGACTCAGAGAGACAAAGGGGCGTGAGAGCGGTGCGAGGGTGCGCGGCAGGGCGACGGGTGAGGCCGCAGCGGCGGCGGGAGGTGCCGAGGTGAGGGAGGTGCGGGGGGCGTGGGCTGGGGACGCGGCCGCCGGCTCCTGCTCGGCTCCAGCTCCGGCTTTTCCCTCCACCAGCCTCTCCCCCTCCCCGCCTCGCCTTTAACTCCCCCTCCTGGGCTCGGGACTGGTTTCCTCCCTGAGCCCGCTGCCCTCAATCCCAGCGAGGCTGGGGCTCCGGCGCGGCGCCCCCTTCCTCCCTCCCTTGTCCGGCGCCCCATGCCGCCCCCGCCCGGCCCCCGGCTCCCCCATTCCCCTACGTAGGCCCTTTCCCAAATCCCGGGGTACTGGAGCGTGGGCCGGGGGGTGCAGGGCGCCTGCAAACGGCCCCTGCAAGGGTTCTTGCGGGGTGAGCTCTCCATAGCAGGGGCACAGACAGAGCAGGAAGAGGGTCCGCGTGGGAGAAGGGGGCGTAAGCCACTGGGGTAGTTGAAGAGGAATAGCCAGGGAAGCCAAGGCAGTCAGTCACCCTAGGGGGTGAGCGACTTTGGGGGAGTTGGTGCCCCGCCCCCTAGGCCTTAGCGGGGTCATGGGGGGCCCCCATTCTGGGCCAGGGGGCATGCGAGTCAGGGTCCTTCTGCTGCTCGGCTTTTTGGAGCTGGTGTCTGGGCTCAGCCTGGAGCCTGTCTACTGGAACTCGGCAAATAAGAGGTGAGCGGCTTGGGGAGACCCACAACCCCAGGGAAGCTCTGGGGGCTTTGAGGACTAGGTTCTCAGCAGGGAGGAGGCTGGAGGGAGAGTGTTGGCTCCCAGTGGGAGGTGATGGGTTACTAGACAGACATGGTCTTGGGACTGGGTAGTCAGACTCCTGGGTCCCACACACGTGGATGGTGATATTGAGGTGTCAGGAGTTTGAGAGACCCCAAAGGGGCATGGATAAGAAAGTTCATGGATCGCTACGGAGAGTGTTGGAATGGTTATTTGGATTTGTGGGAGATTTGTATGGGGGCTGGGCTTGGAGGGAGCCTGGTTAATGTCAGCTCTCAGGAGAGAGCCCTTGAGTAGGTGCTGCTTGAAGCGCTGAGGGGAAGGCAAGGTGCCTCTCTCCTGAGAAAGGACTCAGTGTTGGACATGGGAGGGAAGGGGCTCAGTCTGGGGGCTCCGAGGCTTCTTGCCCTTCCTTAACAATCTGTCTCTCAACTCCTGTCCTCTGTGAGGGGCTCAGAGAACCCCTGGCTGAACAATTTCCTAACCAGAAGATATTCCTCTATTCCTACTTCCCTGGTTTAGGGACTTTTTTTTTTTTTTTTTTTCTGGAGGAACTCTTGAGCCTCCTAAAGCTTCCTTTTCTTCTTACATCTGGAGTCCCAAGAATCCTTGTTCCCTTCCCCCATATTTGCTGCAAGCTTTTCCATCCGACCTCTGTTCCATGGCATGCTTGCTTTGCTCTGAAAAGAGGCCAGGGGTCAGATGAAACTTCAAGCCATGCAGGGTAGGACAGAACCTTTGAGACCTCTGGGTCCCTTGCCTCCATGTAGTTCCCACCCCCATCCACACACACACACACACACACACACACCAGCAAGAGTTCTGTTTTGAAAACTTCCTACTTCCCCACAAGTATGAGGCCATGGGAAGAGGGTGGTTTTGGAGCTCATCAAATTCTAGATTCTAATCCTAGTTCTGTTGCTTTCTCCGTTGTGTGGTCTTGGGCATGTCACTTAACCTTCTGAATGGGTATCCTCAATTCTTATGCATTTGTGGGGATTAGAGGTAAGATGCTTGGACATATATATTCATTAAAGGAGAGCTGGGATGATTGTTCTTCTCTTGACTTCACAGCCTCCCTCACATGTCCTTGTCCTGGCATCCCTTCCTCCCATAGCTTTTTGGGTATATTCAGCCCCCTACCCACCAATGCCCAGCTGCAATTTGAATATCAAGTGTAGCTTGAGGATGTAAGTAAGGCTTGTTCTGATAGGGTGGAGAAAAGGGAGTCAGAGGTGTTCTGGGCTCTTTTGGATGTTGGGTGGTGGAAGTGGGTAATTTGGGAGTTTGGGGAGATACAAAGCAGCAGTCTTCTGGGGTCCAGTTCTAAGACAATATCGGGTGTCAATGCACAGGAAGGGGCAGTGGAGGGGCAACAGTAGCTGGGCCACTGGAGTAGGGTGGAGAGAGGTGTAGGGTTGTGCTTGTTGTGGTCAGAAAAGTCAACTCCTTCAGCTGCAAAGCTTTAGGGTACTTTCCCAAGAAAGCCTGAGACCTGGAGTGAGGGGCGCAAACAGGGGAATGACCCGGAGCAACTGGAGCTCAGACCCTGGTTCCAAATAGCTCCATGTAGGGCCATTTCCAGACCTATCACGTTGCCTGGCTAACTTCAGACACTGGCCTGGATCACTCTTCACACCCCCTTCCCTGCCCCATAGCACCCCCTTAGACCCTCAATCCTCTGATATGCAGTGGTGGTCTGGAGGAGGGGGGTGCTCTGCCCCTATGGTTGACTGCCATGGAACAGTGAAGTCACCTGGGAGGGGTGGGCTGTGTGGTTCCAGAGAGGCCAGCTCCTTGGTAACTGGCATCCTGTCGCCATGGCAACAGGGCTGGTGATGGAGCGAGAGATGGCAGTGTGCATGTGGTGAGGGCGGGCTGAAGAGTGCATTTGGGCACACCAAGGGGCAGGAGACCTCTGAGTCTGGCTTCCTGCTGTTTCTGATGTAAGCTTGTGGAGACCTTGGTGCCAGCTCTGGAAAAACAGATTCTCCACTCAGACAAAGGCAGGCAGTTGGGAGCTGAGAATTCATGTCCTGGAGGGATGTGGTGCTAGGGAGGGAAAGATCTGGGGCCAGACCTCTGACACTTCCTCCTCCCTGTCCACCTGGTTCTCTTCCCCATAGGTTCCAGGCAGAGGGTGGTTACGTGCTGTACCCTCAGATTGGAGACCGGCTAGACCTGCTCTGCCCCCGGGCTCGGCCACCTGGTCCCCACTCCTCTCCCAATTATGAGTTCTACAAGCTGTACCTGGTAGGGGGGGCCCAGGGTCGGCGCTGTGAGGCACCCCCTGCCCCAAACCTCCTCCTCACTTGTGATCGGCCAGACCTGGATCTCCGCTTCACCATCAAGTTCCAGGAGTACAGCCCTAACCTCTGGGGCCACGAGTTCCGCTCACATCATGATTACTACATAATTGGTACTGGTGGGCAAAGGGCAGAGTATAGCAGGGAAACTGAGGGAGGGGGACAACTGGGGCTCAGAGAGGGCTCCCTATGCCCTCAGATGTTGGGTGGGCCAGGGGCTTGGGAACAGGACAGGGGTAGACTCTGGAGTGCCAACATTCCCTTCTGGTTTCTCTCTCCCAGCCACATCCGATGGGACGCGCGAAGGTCTGGAGAGCTTGCAAGGAGGTGTGTGCCTAACTAGAGGCATGAAGGTGCTTCTTCGAGTGGGACAGAGTGAGTGAGGCTGGGTGGACACCTCCAGAAGTTGAGGGGGGTTGGGCAGTACCATCATGGTCAGGGGACAGCTGTCTCAGCCCCTCTCTTGGGTCTCCTCCATCTCCAGGTCCCCGAGGTGGGACTGCTCCCCGAAAACCTGTGTCTGAAATGCCTGTGGAGAGAGATGGAGGGGCAGCCCACAGCCTGGAACCTGGGAAGGAGAACACACCAGGTAGGTCCAACCTTCCACCTTCCCTAGCTTCCTCTGCTCTCAGACCCCAGCTGCCCTGCCTTCACCCTCTCCTCTCCCTCTTGAGTACTGGGGATGGTGATACAGGAAAGAAGAGAAGAGCGGATAGGAGGGTGGGGAGGGAATGGAAGCCAAATGAAGAAAAGCCTCAATTAGAACTAATTAACCAAGTCAGTGCTTCAATCAGCGCTGTCAGAGAAGTGGGAGGACTCAGCGGCAGGGAACTAGAGGGCTGGACACCTGGATTCTGAGTGGGACTTGGAGGGTAAGGGAAGTAGGGACCCCAAGGAGCCTGAGCACATGTGGGGAAGCCTATATGGACCCTCAGGGCTGGGTGTCCAGATGCCCAGGTGGCTCCTTCAGCCCCTCCCCCCTCTTTCCTCCTTCACCCCTTCCCTGCCAGGTGACCCCACCAGCAATGCAACCTCCCGGGGTGCTGAAGGCCCTCTGCCCCCTCCCAGCATGCCCGCAGTGGCTGGGGCAGCGGGGGGGCTGGCGCTGCTCTTGCTGGGCGTGGCAGGGGCTGGGGGTGCCATGTGTTGGCGGAGACGGCGGGCCAAGCCTTCGGAGAGTCGCCACCCTGGTCCTGGCTCCTTTGGGAGGGGAGGTCCTCTGGGCCTGGGGGGTGGGGGAGGGATGGGACCTCGGGAGGCTGAGCCTGGGGAGTTAGGGATAGCTCTGCGGAGCGGTGGGGCCCCAGACCCCCCCTTCTGTCCTCACTATGAGAAGGTGAGTGGCGACTATGGGCATCCTGTGTACATCGTGCAGGATGGGCCCCCTCAGAGCCCTCCAAACATCTACTACAAGGTATGAGGGCTCCTCCCATCAGCTCTCCTGGATCCAGCCCTTTGTGGGGTGCTCCCTCCAATTTAATTCGTGGTTTGAGGGCTGCCTCTAGCATCTCCTTGGCCCCCTCTGCCCTATCACCTCCATTTTCCCTTTTGGATATTCCCCTGTTCTCCACTTTTAGGATTCCTTAAGACTCCCACTGAACCACTCCTGCCCTCCTATTTGGCCATGTGTGCCCCTCTTTGTCTCTGTATTCCTGGGTCCTGTTTCCTTGGGGAGGGAGA